TATTGTATTCACAAGGGAAATGTTAACAGACACACCGACAGACGACAAACAGCGGGCAATGTCAGAAGCTCACCTTTGAGCTGAGCTAAAAAGGAATCAAGATATATCAGATTTTCTCTTTACTGAATTAAACACAGAGCTCACAGTTTTCAATGCAAATAGTTATGCATCTAAAATACTGACCTAAATGAACTGGCAAAAAAAATTGTATCCACAAAGTCTGTTACAAGCTTTTAAACCATCTATATTTTGTTTATTTTGCGTTTATTGTAAAAAGTCTTACTCTCGTGAACTAAAATGGCTGAAATTAACAATGACAAGAAACCCCATCATTTTCGACATTTATTAAAAACAGTTGGTTAAAAGAAATTGATATCTAGGTTCAGGTTCCGCGATAGAAATAGTACTGTACAATACTTTGACATCTTTTGTATCATCCCTCATGCTACTGTTGCCAAAGTAACCCAAATTAACTGTTTCCATCAAATAAAAAATGTCCTTTATTTTTCCCCGAGCATTAAGTATTTTCATTGATTTTACAGTGCAGTCAGCAGGCAAACCATTCAGTTATGCACCGCTACTTTAAGACAAATGACAGCAAAAAAAGTATAGATGATTTATATTGTTTCCCTTACTGATGGGTATAGATAGGCTATAGTTGTTTGTTAAAAAGTATAATTACAGTCCATTTTAAAAGTAAGGCAGCAAAGCCAGTGTAACAAATTTTACTCTTTAATTACAGTGTTTAATCAAAGTACAAAATTAAAGGAGTTTCAACTTTCAATTAATAACAATCTGGGGTAACTACCTACATCATAAAGCATGAAATTAAAACGGTATTCATAGCACGATCTATGTTTGCAGGTAAAGTTAAAAACATAGCAAGTTTTGCCATGTGGGTTAGAATTGAAGGCTCAACTAGGCAAAATGATTATTTTTCAACTAAATAAAACAAGAACTGTCACTAAAAATAAACATTTGCCACATTGAGCATGTGACAGGTAAAAGATCTAACCTTTTACATTGATAAAGGTGTTTAAGAAGCAAACATTTTTATTACAATCAAAATCACACCATAATATATAATTGTCAATTAGCTTATTATCATCACAGGTTACAATTTTTTTTAAATGAATGTAATTATCGTTTTGAACATATCATATAGGTGTGAAACAGTATGGCGGACGTGTATTTATCTGCAGAAAACTAAATGTGATATATTTTGGATATTTGATCTGCTTTTGAGTGTTTAAAATTGTTTTCAAGGATACATTAGAAAGGTAACACTATGAGTTTGCACGAGTTGCAAAATACAAGTACCCCAAATAGACAAAATGTGACTTTTGCCGTGCCAACGTCTAACAGATATTTCCCGCTGCAGTGGGTGGGGTGTGAGCAGACACCAATAAACATAGGAGGGGGACAGAAACATGCATTGGACAGTACAGGTAGCTTATATTTGACTTCAAATAGTGAATCTTCTTTTATTTCATTAAATACTGATGAGAAATTAGTCATGATGTTCAGAAAATTGGAAAAATTAGATGCAAATGATAAAACTTTTATGTCAATGGCTGAAAAAATTGATAACACTATACGAAAAGTAGATACCCTGGAGCATGTTATTAGCGTGAGAGATGGTCACATGAAACAGTTAGCCTACCACAGTATAGACACTGAAGCGCGCTCGAGGCGCAATAATCTTATATTTTACGGCTTAGCTGATGTAAGGATCGAGAATACATACGAACTACTTTCGCAGTTTTGCAGCGACCATCTAGATTTTGACCTAGGGGATTATTTTGTCCAGCGTGTGCACCGTTTAGGCTCTCTTCGTCGCGCTAGTGGTCTTACGCAAACTCCCAGACGTCCAATCATTGTCGCTTTTCGAGATTTTGGCGACACAGAGTTCATCCTTCAGCAAGCTAGAAAACTGAAGCATACACGATATAGTATTGATAGGGACTATCCGAAGGAAATTGCTAGCGCAAGAAAACGACTTTGGGGCCGTTATTGTCACAGGTGTACAAATTTATCTATATCATCCCTATATCCCCAATATACTAATACTCTAAATTTCAGCAGTATGCCGTAACATTGTAAATCGACTACTCAACGTGATTTACAATAACACTATCTTTTCACCTTTCCTCTTTACTATTCCTTTGTTATTTAAATGATTTTCTATGACGTATATAAGTTTGACCAATAGGGTCAATTAAACAATATATTTTGAAAGAAAATAAGATTGTATTGTGTACGTTTGGTTTATATAACCTTAACTTAAATCATTTAAATTGATTACATGTGTATAATAAAAGGAATATATTTTGCTACAGGTAATTCTCTTCATATGTTGCATTTGTAAATTGCGTACATCTTATGTTAATAGACTTATATTATTTGAGTTCTAAGAACATTTCTTAGAATATATTTTTCTTTGTGTAACATGATGTCGGCCATTTTGTACATGTATGTTTACATTATTTAAATGCAATATAATTAAACAATATATTTTGAAAGAAAATAAGATTGTATTGTGTACGTTTGGTTTATATAACCTTAACTTAAATCATTTAAATTGATTACACGTGTATAATAAAAGGAATATATTTTGCTACAGCCGGAAGTTCTTTTGATCCGTCATCCCCTGGCCCCAGATATATGAAACTCTACCGTTGAGACGGTCCAGTGCCCTAGACCAAAGAGGGACGTCTGGCGCCTCGGCGACATTGGCGCCCAACGGGGGACCCACGAAGATGATGACGATCAACACTGCCGCTTGTCTTACGGACGTCTGTAGAACATCATAAAGATCCTTTATATTGTCGAAAGATCCTATAGAAAGGACAGGTATACCCCAGCTCCCATTAAATTAAAAAGAGCTCAAACATTTATTATTGGCCGGCCACCTTAATATATAGTGCTAATTGATAGCACATATTATCTTTCCTTGATTCATTAATCCTGGAATCAACCGTGAACTTATCAACAACGAGCTGGAAGGAGGATCACCGGAAGTTACCATTGTTTACATTTTTGACAGTTGACAGCCACGTGTTCCTGTGTTTGTAAACATTGAAACTGTCATATTCAGTGTGTAATTGATATAGATATAGATATATATCATTCATCGTTTTAAACGATAGAATTAGCCGACTGTATTTTTTAAAGAGTTTGTGAAAATTAAATGTTTATCATTTTGATAATATTATTAAATGTATGCTTTATTGTATGTATTTGTTAAAAAAGGGTTGTTTATTTATTGACCAATACACAATTGTTTGTGTCAATATTCATTCTGCTGTGCACTGATTGAATTTGATTGCTCAACGAGTACTTGGATTCACTGAAAATTTATTGGTATTTATTTATTATTGTGTGTTGTCTTACTCCATCTTTCCTTCCTGAGTCTATACTAATTTAAGACAAATAAACTAAAATACCAAATAGTAACCTATATTGACCCTGTCCTAAAATAGTAAGTATTATAGGTTTGTTAACCTGGTTGGTTTGGTGTGCATTTATAGATAAATATACATTAATTATAATTATCTATTATATCAAAAAAAGGAATTTAAAATTACTTTGCTTATCAAAGAAAGCTCAGTAATTTGAAGTAGATCCTGAAAACAAATTTGTCGTACAAGAAATTTAACAATCTCGCAAATTCATTCGCGACGCGAACAAATAGCATTTTATACATAAATGATATATCTTTGAATGAATATGCATTCAAAGATCATTTTTGTATAAAAGTTGAATATTCTGACGTACAAACGGTTAAACAATTTTCGCATCAACGCGACACCACAATAGCATTGATAACATCACAAATATAATCATATAGTGCACACATGCCTCCGTAGCGTATTGGATAGCGACAGCGTTTGTCACCTAGGAGAATCGAGTTCCAATCTTGGTAGAACCTCACGGATTTTTTCCGACATTAATAAATTGTTCATGCAAAACACGAACATTAAAATAAAATAAAAACTTAAAAAAAAAAACATATCAAATTAAAATTCATATAAATACATATAAATAAATATATACATATAATAAATAAACTGTAATACAATAATATCATATTCACATTACGAGTGTACAAATATATACTGAAAGGGAAGTAACAAATATAAACAAACCCATATATACGGAAAGAAGTACATTGAAAGGAGCAATAATAAGAATAAACTGTTGAAGATTAGCGAAAAGGGAATATATGAACGAACTTGTGTTGTGCTTGTATTTGCATAACTCACAAATAAAGTGAAAGGACATTTTCAAATACGCGACAAGTAACTTTGAATATTTTGTTTTGCCTTGAAAGGATGTTTGAAAGAAACAGATTACAAATAATCAAGTTAAGTGGACAGAGATAGTAAAAGGAACGAAAAGTGAAATTTGAAAACAGAAAGTGTAGTGAAAAGGAAAGGGATATTTAAACGGAAGTTACGTTTTGAAATTAGGGTGTGAAATGTACAAAGATTGTGAAAACACGGAAAGTGAATTAAAAAGGAAGTAGAGAAAAGAGCGAAAAGTAAAATCTTGAAATTATCAAGAAAAGAGAAAAGAAGTTGTGAAAAACATAAAGAGTGAATAAGATATTATAAAGTGAAAGGATGAAATGTTGTGAAAACACGGAAAGTGAATTTAAAAAGAAGTAGAGAAAAGAGCGAAAAGAAGTTGTGAAAAGCATAAAGAGTGAATAAGATATTATAAAGTGAAAGGATGAAATGTTGTGAAAAACACGGAAAGTGAATCAGAATTATATAGTGAAAGTGAATAAGATTGTGAAAGATACGAGAAGAAAAATAGAAATTATTCAGTGATAAAAAAAAAGAAAGTTGTGAAAGACACTGACAGTGATTTGTTTGTAATTAACCAAGTGAAATGAAAACATCATAAGTGTACATACTTGCTAAACTTTGAAAGCTAAAGGTGAAGACATAGAACTTATAATAATATATTTGGTGAAAAGGGAGGATAATCAGATAATGGCTGAAGGAAATTTACCTATGAGAATGAGAGAAGGTACAAGAGAAACATCTCGACAAAGTGAAAATCTTATAAGAAAACGGGAAACTGAAAAACAATTAAAAGAACTTGAGCAACAGATAAAAGAAGAGGAACTCAAACGTTTAAAATATCAACTTGATATAATGAGATCTAGAAGGGCAGCATCAAATACCGAACACACTAATGTACTTGATTTTGCATCAAATGAAAATGAACGGAATGTTCTAAATACATCTAGACAATCAGTTCAGAAACTTAATAGTGATGTTCATCATAGTATGTCGTCAATAGAACAAATTGGTGCACACAAACAGAGCGAACAAGAACATGATCCTACCGATATAATACTTAATGCATCTGGTGTTGAATTTTTAAACCAAGTAGATGATATAGATGCAAGAATTTCATTACATAGAAATGAAAGCTATCATACTCCAGATAGGATAAGCTCTGATATAAGCCAGAGGCGGAAAGTACATACAGACATTCTTAAAGAGAGAAAAGAACGCTTGGATAGAGACAAAGGACAATCGAAGAGTTTTGATACAGTGATTAAACATGATGGAGATGGGGATTGGCTTAAAGCACGGGTGGTATATCAAACACCAACTTATTCAGAAAAGCAAATAAACAAGTGCATAGATACCACAAAAGGAACAAAAACACAAACAGAGTATAAAGATGAGGAGAATTATAGTTTGCCAATGAAAAGTGTAAGAAATAGACGTGTTTCAGATTTAGAATGTATGTTTGAAACAAAAGAAGAGAGAAGTATAACTTCTGAATTTATGGAAGAAGAGGAAAGAAAATTGTCTTTGATCACAGATAGAAGGAAGGAGTTGCAAGAAATGATAGAAATGGAAAGATTACAACAACTGAAGATTGAACAAGAGAAACAGAGAAAAATGGAAGAAATCAGAGAACAGGAAAGGGTTTTAGAACAATATGAATTGAGAAGCAGGGAGTTACAATTACGTGAAAATAAATTAAAAGATTATGAGAAGATGATAGATTCAAAGATGGAACGATTGCATCTTATTAGTGATACATTAGAAAAAGAAAATATTGAACGCAAAAGAGAAAATGATGTATCTGAAACTCTTAAGAAGAAATATGAAGAGATGAGAAGAAGGGAGATGGCTATTGAAAAGAAGGAAAAAGAGTTAGAACAGAAAGATTATTTGCTGGAAAAGAAAATAAACTTACTGAAAGATTGGCAACATGAAGAAAGAGAAACAGAAAGAGTTCCACAAAAATATGAATCGGACATTCATGATATGATGAATGATTACTTAGAGGAAGGATTTCATACATTACCACGGCAAAGCAGTAATGAGATACATACATTTGGACCAAAGTTAATCATCAGCCAATTTTCAGGGTCAGATCCGAAACCAAGATCCGAATCTTCGTTAGAAGAATGGAAAAGAGAAATTGAGAGTATAATTGCAACAAAATTGTACAAAGAACATGTAGTTGCTCAAGCTATTAGACAATCGTTAAGAGGTCAAGCGAAGAAAGTGCTGATAAATCTAAGTCCTGTGGCTACACCAATTGATATTGTGTCTCGAGTTGAAGATATCTTTGGCGATCTTTCAAGTCAGCAAATTATATTCACTGAATTTTACACAGCTGAACAGAAACCAGAGGAATCAGTTGCAGAGTGGGGTCTTCGTCTGGAAGAAATTCTTCTGTTAGCATCAACAAAAAGGTTCATTCCTGAAAAAGAAAGAAAAGAAATGTTAAAAGATAAATTTTGGAGATCTTTATATAATATAGACATTAAGAATGCAACTCGTACTAGTTTTGAGAGCAGCGACTCATTTGAAGTGTTAAGGAGAAAAGCTAGAGCTGAGGAGAATGAAATAAAGGTTACAAAACAGAGACGACAAACTGTTCAGCATAATCAAATGTCAACTGTAGAAAAGGACAATAAAGAAGACATTATTAAACAACTTATGAAGAAAATGGAAAACTTAGAAAGGCAATTAGAGGAAGTAAAGAGAGAAAAAGAGAAACCTAGTAGATACGATACTAGTAACCAATACAGTTATGGAGGAAGAGGACAGTACAACTTTAGAAGGACTAATAATTACAACAATGTTGGGAGAGGATATGGATTCAGATATAATAGTAGATACAATGGTAGTGTTGGACAAAACAGAAGAAATGAAATGGACATAAATTCAAGAAAAGAAACAAATGAAAAAGATCCGAAAATACAACCTGATGTAGCCAAGAAAAATGTTAAAGAGGATTTAAAAGATTAGATGTCTCCATTGAAGGGCAAATGAGAGACAGTAAAATAAAAAGCCCGAACAAGCCAAAGAACATATTTGAAAGATTAGTTGGATGTCCAAATGAGTCAACTGTTATTGTCAATGATGTAAAATCAAATTGTATTTGTGACACTTGATCTATGATAACGACAGTTAGTGAGGAGTTCTACAACAATCTAGATCCGAAACCAGAATTGCATCGAGTTACGGATTTTGTTATAAACATGCCTGATGGAAATTCATTGCCATATTCCGGATACATTGAATCTTCTGTTAAAATACCTGGTTTATCGGACTTGGATTTAAATATCCCAATTTTAGTCGTACCGAATACAGAGTACAACTTGAGTGTTCCAATAATCATCGGCACAAATGTTTTAAGATTCCTCTCTGAACAGTCGTCAAATGAATCGCTTCCACAACCTTGGAGGACCGCTATTTGCAATCTTGTTGGCTCACCTGTAATTGGCAAAGTTAAAGCTTACAATAAGAAGGATATAGTATTAGAACCATTCCAGTCGAAAGTTATTACAGGTTTCATCAGACATAAATTCGACTTGAATACTGTTGTCACAGAAACATCTGAGGAATCCTCATCCAGAATTGGTATATGTCCAAGAGTCGTTGAAGTCAATGGATCAGGAAATCGATCAAAAATACCAGTAAAATGCTTCAATTTATCTGCAAAACAAGTGACGATTAAACCTAAGTCTATACTTTGCAATCTACAAGAAGTAAAAGTCCTTCGTAACTGGGAACCAACAGACAATGATAATACTGAAACAACAGACAATGATATTATTGAACAATCAGAAAAGACAAATGATACACAAACAGAACAAAGTGAAATAGACAAGTTTACAAATAGTTTGAAAGTTGATCTATCAAATGTTCCTGAGACTTACTGTCAACAAGTCAAGACCATTTTCCATAAATGGAAAGATGTTTTTTCTACAGGACCTCTTGATATAGGAAGAACAGATTTAGTTGAACATGAGATACATCTAGAAGATCCAAAACCCTTTAAAGAACCATATAGACCCATTCCACCTGGTCTCATTAATGAAGTTAAAGAACATATTCGTGATATGCTTGAGATAGGAGCAATTCGCCCTTCAAACAGTCCATACTCATCGAACGTTGTAATTGTCAGAAAGAAAGATGGTGAAATAAGATTTTCCATAGACTATAGAAAACTCAACAATAAAACAAGAAAAGACGCATATGCCCTTCCTAGAATAGACGACACTCTTCATCTCCTTACTGGATCAAAATATTTCTCTAAACTCGACCTCAAAAGTGGTTATTGGCAGGTGGAACTTCGGGAGGAAGACAAATGTAAAACAGCATTTCAAGCAGGAAATTTAGGATTCTTTGAAGCCAATAGAATGCCATTTGGATTAACAAATGCTCCCGCAACGTTTCAAAGACTTATGGAAAGATGCATGGGAGATATGAATTTACAACAATGTCTTATATATCTCGATGACATCATCATATTCAGCCCAACCTTTGAAAAACATTTAGAGAGTCTCGAAGCTGTGTTTCAACCTTTGAAGACCAATACTCTTAAACTTAAAGCCTCCAAATGTGAATTCTTCAAAGATCAAGTCATCTATTTGGGTCATCTTATATCTGACAAAGGCATCGGTACAGATCCTGAAAAAGTTACTACAGTAGAAAATTGGCCAACACCCACCACAGTGAAAGAAGTTAGAAGTTTTCTTGGATTCGCCGGTTATTACCGAAAATTTATCCAAGGATTCGCTAAAATAGTAAGACCACTGAATGACCTTCTCATTGGAGACAATCTCAAGAAGAAGAAAATAAAACCAACTGTTAAGAAGAAGTTTGAATGGGGTCCAAGTCAACAACAAGCATTCACAACAATTAAACAAAAACTTATTACTGCTCCAATGTTGGCATATGCAGACTACAAAAAACCTTTTAAGCTTCACACGGACGCATCGGGACTAGGGCTTGGAGCTATTTTATATCAAGAAGTTGATGGTACATGTATCGACCGTGTTGTTGCATATGCAAGTCGGAGCCTAAGACCATCTGAAAAGAACTATTCTGCACACAAATTAGAATTCCTGGCATTGAAATGGGCAGTTACAGAGAAGTTCCACGACTACCTTTACGGATCACAATGTTTTGTAACTACAGATAACAATGCATTAACTTATGCCCAAACTTCTGCAAAGCTTGATGCAACCGCTCAACGCTGGATTGCGAGTCTTGCCAACTACAACCTGAAAATAGAATATAGAAGTGGTAAGAAAAATATCGACGCTGACGCTTTGTCTCGAATAGAACCATCAAATCATGCGGTTAACCCCGATACAATAAAAGCAATGACAATGGCTGCTCAAGTCCAGATTCCACTTGTTGAAACTATTTGCAATCCTGATGCCGAGATACAACCGGAACTCATACCAGATATTCCTGACGACTTGATTATGCCAGTTAGTCTCTCAAATATGGACTGGTATAAAGCACAACATGAAGACCGCATTATAGCTGGAGTTATAAGTCATCTAAAGAATGGAACCAAACCGGCTTCTTCGACCTATGGTTCCGAGGCTAATATAATCTCTGGTTATCTTCGCGAATGGTCCAAGCTTGTCTTTCAACAAGGCGTTCTTTATAGAAGAACAACTGTCCGGTTTTACTCGCCTTCAACTTGTGTTACCTTCAAAATTAAGAGAAGATGTATTTCATGCAATTCATACAGATTTAGGACATCAAGGACGAGACAGAACACTATCATTATTTAGAGAACGCTTCTTCTGGCCAGGAATGGAATCATTTGTTGTGTCAAAAGTAAGATCATGTGACCGATGTATCAAAAGAAAAGCCCGAAACATCAAAGCAGAATTGGTAAATATATCATCTTCCTTTCCTATGGACATACTATGCATTGATTATCTTTCATTGGAACGTTCAAAAGGTGGCTTCGAAAATATTTTAGTGATGACCGACCATTTCAGCAGATACGCACTTGCATTTCCAACACGAAACCAAACAACAAAAACTACAGCAAAAATTATTTTTGACCAAGTTATTGTTCACTATGGTTTTCCAGCCCGTCTCCATAGTGACCAGGGACAATCTTTTGAAGCAAATATAATCAAGGAATTGTGTGCAATTGCCGGTATTGACAAATCAAGAACAACACCATATCCTCCTCAAGGCAATCCCGTGGAACGTTTTAACTCAACACTTTTAAAATGCTAGGTACTCTTGAAGATAACCAGAAAAGCAATTGGAAAGATACGTTGCAACATTAGTTCATGCGTATAATTGCACCAAACATGATAGCACTGGATTTTCACCATACTTTCTAATGTTTGGCCGTCATCCTAGACTTGCAATTGATGCCTTTCTTGGACTACCAATAGACAATGAAAATTCTCAATGTCATTCGGAATATGTTCATCAACTGAGAGATCGTCTCTTGAATGCATACACCATCGCAAGAAAATGTTCAGAGCATGTTGGTAAAAACAATAAAAAGTATTATGACATTAAAACAAGACATCTGAAATTAGTTCCTGGAGATAGGGTATTGGTCCGAAATGTGTCTATCAGAGGAAAGAATAAACTAGCTGATAAATGGGAACACCATCCATATATTATAATCAGTCAACCAAATGCTGATATACCCGTTTACCAAGTAAAACAAGAAGGAAATAGATTTAGAAAAATAAGGACACTACATAGAAATCTTTTATTGCCATTTATGAGCACAACAGATCTTAATAGTGATATAACAAAGGATGAGACAAAAGTTGCTGAAAATACTGAAACTGAAGAGTGTGTAAATATCAATAAAAAATCTGGACAAGAAGATCCAAAAACAAATACAAATAATAAAGATGTATCTTACCTGAATGCAACTCTGGAACAAGAAATGGATTCATCTTTCATAAACTCTGATGAAGAAACAATTGAAAAATATGTAATTCCTCAACGAAGGAAACAGAGGAATATGTCTGGAGAATCAGATACGAATAATAATTCTGGTTCAGAAACAAAACATTCAATTCGTAAAACAAAACGAAAGATAACAAAGCCTCGGTGGATGAGAAGTGATGACTGGATTATTGGATAGTGTGTTTTAATGATAGTATATCATGGAATAATGTGAATTGACGTTTATATGTTTACAATGATCAATTGTATATTAAAACATTAAAGATGATATAAACAATATATCATTAGCATACCACTACATTATACACTCAGTATCATATCATTATTATTCATACTTGTATCGTGTCATATTACGGGCGTCGAATCATTAACATTTTTGTCACGATAAAATGTTATTATTATGTTTCAACTATTTTACTTTTCTTTGTGTTGCGAAATTAACTTATTGCGAGATTACCTTATTGCGAAAAGAGATTGTGTTTTTTCCTCTGCCGAAACATTTCGTTTTTCTGCGTATCATTAGTAAATGTTGGGGACAACATTTAATCGGGAGGGGGCAAATATGTCACAGGTGTACAAATTTATCTATATCATCCAATATACTAATACTCTAAATTTCAGCAGTATGCCGTAACATTGTAAATCGACTACTCAACGTGATTTACAATAACACTATCTTTTCACCTTTCCTCTTTACTATTCCTTTGTTATTTAAATGATTTTCTATGACGTATATAAGTTTGACCAATAGGGTCAATTAAACAATATATTTTGAAAGAAAATAAGATTGTATTGTGTACGTTTGGTTTATATAACCTTAACTTAAATCATTTAAATTGATTACATGTGTATAATAAAAGGAATATATTTTGCTACAGGTAATTCTCTTCATATGTTGCATTTGTAAATTGCGTACATCTTATGTTAATAGACTTATATTATTTGAGTTCTAAGATCATTTCTTAGAATATATTTTTCTTTGTGTAATATGATGTCGGCCATTTTGTACATGTATGTTTACATTATTTAAATGCAATATAATTAAACAATAT